TTTTATTGGAGCTCGGGATTATAGGTCCATTAGTCCCCGCGTCGTCCTAGTAATTCTGCCAGACACAGAGGGCAAAATGGGAATTTTAGAATTACGGAATTCTAAAATTAAATACTCGAAAATTATTGATTGAGAATTAATTATTATTTAAATAATGTGATTTTTTAAATTTGAATTTGAACACATCTAGATTTATCCATTTAAACTTATTTGATAAGTTGTTCAATTTAGAATTCAAATTAATTTAAGTTTGACTTAAATTTGAATTTGAATTTGAAATAAAATTGGACTACAGGATAAATGATGATTTTCTCTTCCTTTCCTATCCAGTATTGGCGCCACACACAGGGATAGGAATCCCTAGCATGGCCGGCCACAAGGGATAAGGGATAGAGGAGAATTTTGGTTCAAAATTCAAATTGGAGATAGAGATTAGATTCCTTCTAGAAGTTTGACTTCTACTCTATAAATACTATTTTTGAGACAATTTTCGGAATGGTTTTTTGCCCTAATTTTAGAGGTAGCCGAAATTTCTCTATAGAAATTTTGGAAACAATTTTTCAGCCCTAAGAGTTAAGGCTGGCCGAAATTCTCAAGAGAGAAAGGAAGGAAAAATTTTTCTCCAAAAATTCCACATCGTGCATGCGTTGGTGTTTGTGGAAATTCGAGTGTTTATTGTAACCCGTTTTGTCTCATGTGTGCCCACACACACGTCTTCGTGGATTCTAGGAATTGACGTGGAAGACATTGGTTTTCTAAACACAAAGATTGGAGCAAGGACTGTTCGTGGTCAAAGAACTCAAGTTATCATCTGAGTTGGCTTCCAGGTATTTTTCCTGATTGAGTTCTTGATATATATAAGTTAATGAGATTAATTTATTCGTGCATAAATTAATATAATCTATAGAGTATCTCAAAAGTTTTATGAAAATTTTTGTTATACACGATTCGCCTCTTCCCCGCACCACCGCGCTTCCGCAGCCGGATTCGATTCGGCAACCAACAAAAATAACCCTAAAAATCCTATTTATAGTGTTTGGAATTGTAGTGGCATTTTTATAAATTTTCAAAACTCAAATGAACTCAAGTCGACAAAATTTTTGAAGTAGCGCCGCGACCTTACTATTTAGGAACCGCGGCCCTGGCCTGAAAAATAGCCTATCCACACAATGCTTCGAAGTAGAGCTGCGGCCCTACTATTTGGGCGCCGCGGCCTTGGACAAAAAATTGCTTAATTACGTAATTTGGCGCCATGGCTCCATCGTACAAAGCCTAGGCTATCTTCTATCAGGTTTTTGTATTGCAAATGAACCATTTCAAGGCCTAGGCGCCATCTTTCAAGGCCAAGGCTCTCCAATCTCAATTTAGTTCTAAAGATTACTCCAACACTCAACTACGAACTCCGAATGATGCTAATCTATAAAATCAACTAAAAATTCATAAATTAACTACTAAAACCACTCTAAAACTAACAAAACAATCAATTAGAAGTATTAAAAGATAAGCACAAATCCAATGTATCAAATACCCCCAAACTTGAGATTTTGCTAGTCCTCGAGCAAAAGAAAAGAAAATAAAAGAAACTAATAAGAAATCGAAGTGCAAGTGACAACTTGCTGATGATTTGACAATCTTACCTTAGAGATTCCACATAGTTAGTAGCTCAAGAGAAGCTTCAAAAATCATACTCTATGTAGAATTTCAATCCTAATGTCAATTTCTACCTCACTTAAAGCTCCACGAGTGTTTGTGTGTAAAGTTTTTCACCGTCAACCATCCGCACTCGGATCAGTTTATGCAACCCAAGTTCTTTAAAAATTGATCTCTTAGTTTTAAGAATGTTTCGAACTCCATAAGCCGGTTTTTCACATCACTCTCCACTAATGTAGAACGAACACCATACCAAAGATCATTAAGACTTTATTCGGTTTGTAACGCGAGGCTTGGGTTGGAGGTAGGATGATGGATACTATTTTTGGCTTAAGTCACTCACATGCACGCAATCATTCCATGTTCTTTTCATGAGCTTCTCCAATTCTCCTCAATTCCCCCAAACTTGCTTTCGAACCTCCACTTGTAACCCACTTTATTCATCATTAATTTTTCTTTTCTTTTCTTTTTTTTACACACCCCCAACCTTATTTCTTTACTTGAGTGCACAAAGTCGGGTGTCTAAATGTCATCCTTCAATTTTTTTTTTCTTCTTGTTTTTTTTTTTCCTTCTTCCAAGCTCCTCCCATCCTCCCAAAATTGTAATGTAGCTCTAAACATTCTTCTCTAATGATCATATGCACATAAGTGAAGGGTCAAATGAAGGGATATTAGTTAAAGCTAGGTCCAATTGTAGGTGACAAAGAAAAAGGTCTAAACAAGCTCAAAAGGGGCACTAGGGATATGTATTATGCACGGGTTGGCTTGAAAGGCTCAAATGATCCAAACATGGCCTAAATCCCTTCCCTAATATGGTGTGTCCTAGGATTTCACCTCAAGTGACAATCAAACCAGTTCTAGAATTCTTGTGAGATCAAAGAGTTTACTTAGGTTACATAATCTTTCTCTAAGTAAGCAAAATGATTAACAAATTTAAGCTAGTGCTCAGAATGTCATAGAGTCCCATGAAAAGCAAAAAATTAACAAAAGGATCAAGCACACACACAAAATACAATATTCATCAGTTTCTCCCAAGCTAAAAGCAAGCAAAACCAATCTCATCATCGGCCTTGGTGTCGTCACTTTTACTTCTTCTTTTTTTGAAAGTAACAAAGAACAAGAAAATGAAAAATGAAAGAGCGAAAGAGACATTCCCCCCAAACTTCAGAAATATTGTCCTCAATGTTATGATAAAGAATGTGGAAGCGCAGAGGACATACCTAGGTGAGGGCCATATTAGGTGCCCTCGCCATCATCATCATTGTGACCGGTGGCTTGTGGGTAATGAGTAAATATTGGCGCCGGGGATAGCCAAGGGTCAGGGAATTCTTTTTCTGGGTATTCAAACTTGGGCATTCTTCCTTGACAGTACTGTGATGCAATTGCTACATTCTCATTGCTAGCTTTATCCGGTTCCCTCTTAAGGGGGATCCTGCATACTTTATCTTGCCTTTTAAATTGCTTTGGAACCTTGACCGAGTTTTTTTCACACATTGTCTTCTTTATGTTATCCATTCAGTAACAAGTCTCAGATTCCTGTGGACCCTTGAGTGGACTGAACACATTGAAAGTTACTTTCTCATTTTCCACTTCTAGACTCAATTCTCTTTTTGAAACATTAATCACCACATTTCTGGTAGCTAAGAATGGTCATCCTAAGATTGAAGGAATATCTTGGTCTTCTTCCATATCCAGTACTATGAAATCAGCCGGGAATATCAATTTGTCCATTTTTACTAGCACATCTTCTAAAATGCCCCATGAGTACTTAATGGAATGATCAACCATTTGGAGTAGCACAGTTGTGGGCTTTGGTTCTCTTAAGCCCAATCTCTGAAAGACTGATAATGGCATGAGGTTTACACTTGTTTCAAGGTCACATAATGTTTTTCCAAAATATGAATTACCAATAGTGCAAGGAATGGTAAAGCTATCCAAATCTTTTAAATTTGGTGCCAACTTCCTTTGAATGATGGTGCTACACTCCTCAGTTAATGTGACTGTTTCAAAATTCTCTAACTTCCTCTTGTTAGAGAGGATGTCCTTCATAAACTTCATGTGAGTTGGCATTTGAGCCAAGGCATCTGCAAATGGAATGTTGATATGGAGCTTTTTGTATACTTCTAAAAACTTAGCGAATTGGTGATCCAGATTCTTTTTCTTTAACTGTTGAGGGAACGAAATTCGTGGCTTGTGCTTTTCTACTGGCAACGCTTGTTTTTCAACCTCCTCCCCTACATTCCCACTTACATCTTCATCGTTAGTTAGTTGCTTCTTTGTTATACTCAACTTCATTGGTGGATCTTGTAGTTGCAAACCACTCCTTGTAAAAATAGCCTTGCACTGCTCTTTAGGATTAGGAATGGTATCACTTGGAAGAGAACCTTGTTGCCTTGAAGAACTGGAAATTGCCAATTGGCCCATTTGCACTTCTAAGTTTCGGATTGCTGCCGCTTGACTACTCAACAGGGTGCCTGTCCTAGCCATGTATTGCTTAGTCTCATCCATGTGTTGTTTAGTAGTAATCATGAACTAAGAAAATATATATTCCAACAAACTCTTTTTTTCTTGTTGCACAAACCCTGGAGGAGGATTCAAGACATTCTGAGTGTTCCTGTAAGAGAAATTTTGATGATTCCTGGAACTGGGGTGATAAGTGTTTGAATTTGGGGTCCATTGCTACCTATTGAAATTCCCCATGTAATTGGCTTGCTCTGCCACAGACAAACAACTCCCATTTTCATGATTGGCTCTACAATATTCAAAATAAGAAGTTGGAATATGCACCGAATTCACCTCCCTATTGTCCAATTTCTTCACCAAAAAGCCACTTGGCTCGTCAGAGCCGTCAAAGCATCAAACTCAAGTACCCCTGTAGTTTTCCTCACCATAGTTCACTGCTTCGGATACTTGTAATCATTTGCATCCATCTCATCTAAAAGATTAAAAGCCTCATCCACAGTCTTTCTCATCAATGCACCTCCTGCAGCAGCATCCACTAATTTTGCATTGCTCAAATCCAGACTATTGTAGAAATACTGAATTTGCATCCATTTTTGCACCTCATGATGAGGACATCTCCTGTACAACTCTTGAAATCTCTCCCAAATTTCTGATAAAGTCTCCTTATCATGTTGCACAAAATTAGTAATTTCATTTCTTACCTGAATGGTCTTGGATGGAGGAAAATACTTAGCCAAGAACTTCTGAGCAAGATCATTCTAAGCGGTGAAGTGATTTGAGGGATGAGAGTAAAGCCAACTCCAAACCTTGTCTCTAAGAGAAAAGCTAAACAGTCTCAATCTTATAGCATCCTCTGAGACTCCATTAAACTTCATGGTATCGTACAATTGTAAGAAACGTGCGATATGAGCATTAGGATCTTCAATAGGCAAACCCCCAAACTGACAAGAGTTTTGAATCATAAAGATGATCGCCAGCTTCAATTTAGAGTTGTTGGCTTGAATAGCTAGAGTAGCAATGCTCGACGGTATCCTGGTAACATCGGGGGAAGAATAATCCCCCACAGCCTTAGTGTTAGGTTCTCTTTCTGCCATATCAACAATCACAAGCTTTTCTTTCTTCTTTTTCCTCTTACATCTTATGAAGTCCCCTCAATCTTAGGATCAAAGACTTCAAGACTTTTAGATTGTAGCATGCACTATAAGACACCTGACAATTTACAAGAAAATAAAATAATGTAAGAGTCTAAATTAAAATTTAAAATACTTGGTATCAATATTGTTAATGCCAGTCCCCGGCAACGGCGCCAAAACTTGATGTGAAAATTGAAAGTGCACAATATTGCATACAAGTAATTAAGTAGTGAATAAAGTATCGTTCCTATGAAGATTACATTGATTTTAATTAAGTACTGAAATTGGTTAACTCTAAAATTATTTGAACATCCTAAAATAAAATAGAAAAATAGTAAGAGCAAAATACAAATAAAAACTCAAATAAATAAAACTAAAATAAATAAACGACTTAAACAAATTAAAGACTAGGACAACTGATGTCACCAAATATAATCTTCTTTAATTCATTATTCTTACTAACGTTGCATATTATTCAAGTGTTAGAATGAGTAACCCTAAATTATTTAATAGTCATTCTGAGGATGCTATCAAATACATTCCTAGCATGTAAACTCACTATCTTTCGATGTGAATTCCACCACCCTAGAAATTCATTACGCTTTATGGTTCTCTTAATTGTTCACGCAAGTCATGTTACTATCGCTAGATGTCACATGCACCTTACGATTCCTCTCACAAGAAGCTATTCCTAAAAGCCTTCTTCTGGGGTTTCAATCTAGGTCTCCAAAACAATTTAAATATTGGCCAGATAATTGAAAGCATTAAGTATATAGAAAGAAATAACAACCATCAATAATAAAATCTTAGTGAATTAATTCATTGAAGGTAAAAATAAATGAATTAAATTAAAATAGAATTGGTGATCTCATAGCCGTAACAAAAGAAAATTAGAACATAATTGAAAAAGAAAACATAATGACAATAATAATTAACATAGGAAATTCAGGAAATAATAAAACTCTTTGGTGAATTCAAAGTTGAACTCCGGTCTTGAACAAATCCCCCTCTCCTTCATAGAGTCGTCTTCTCTCCTTCTTTTCTTAGCCAAAAGATCCTAGAAAATAACCCTAAAAATCCTATTTATAGTGTTTGGAATCATAGTGGCATTTTTACAAATTTTTGGAACTCAAATGAACTTAAGTCGGTAAAATTTTTAAAGTAGCGCCGCGGCCCTCGCCTGAAAAATAGCCTATCCACATAATGCTTCGAAGTAGAGCCGCAACCCTACTATTTGGGCGCGGCGGCCCTGGGCGGAAAATTACTTCATTGCGTAATTTGGCGCCATGGCTCCATTGTACAAAGCCTAGGCTCTCTTCTCTCGGATTTTTGTATTGCAAATGAACCATTTCAAGGCCTAGGCACTATCTTTCAAGGCCGAAGCTCTCCAATCTCAATTTAGCTCCAAAGATTACTCCAACACTTAGCTACAAACTCCGAATGATGCCAATATGAAAAATAAAAAAAAATACGAAAATTAACTACTAAAACCACTCCAACACTAACAAAACACTCAATTAGAAGTATTAAAAGATAAGCACAAATCTAATGTATCAGCACGCGACATTGATTGGTGTTGAGGGCCCACAATTTCGTGAGAGAAAGAAGAAGATAAAATATTTTGATTTTATCTTTATCATATTAACTTAAAATTGATTTTCTTTATCTATAAATTAAGAGAATAGAAAAGTAATTATACACCAAATTGTTTAATAACCACTATTGTTTGTCTAACATGTGTCATTTTTTATAGAAGTTCTAGTAGATGGAGGTTTTTTTTATTAATGTATTGTTTTTCAAGAGGAATAGATGTGTTATGTTTATAAGGTCGGAGGGCAAAGTGTTATAAGTGTCATAAATTTGGAGGAATTTTAGTAATTAATACATTTTTATTACGATTAATTAAAAAAGGATACATGTCTGTGAACTTTAAAGTTTGTGATAATTGTGAGGAATGGTTTTCTTAAAGCATGCGATGTACTTAGATATTTTATTATTTATTTAATAAAGTGAATTTTTTTTATTTTATGTGCATGTATTATTGAATAATTTATTAATATTATTGAAATCTTTTTGATTATTTATCTAACCATAAATATTGTATATATGTGTTATATACAAGAGGATAATATTTAAGAGTAATAATAGAAACATGTCCATAACGAATTTAATTAAAATTTTAAAATATTTAAGTAAAGCGTTATTAATACATGTCATTCCCATTAATAATGCAACGATGTTATCTGCATCGTTATATGGAGGGATATTAATCAGTGTATTCAACATAATGTGATTGCATAGGACTGAGACAATATATGATTTGAATTTCTAATAATTTTTGTGAAGTATAGAATTTTGGTCATATATAGAATTATCTTAATCTTGAGTTATTACCAAACTCATATTTATGGATTTGTTTCTTTTGATTTAGTCAATATGGATTTCGATATTGCTAAATGTTATTCCTTATATCTTAGAGATATGATGAAGTAGGTAACCGAAAATGTCAATATATAGGATGGAATCAATTCTTTCTTGAATAAAGAAGTAGATAAAAAATAATTCTCTTGAGTGTTGATTCGGTTTTGAATAATAAGAGAGTGTTCAATTTGTGATTAATATCAAGAATTTATTATTCATTAGAGAATCAATGATGATCAAGGATAAAGCTGCAATTAGGGGATTAACGGATTTCTACTTAGCTCTATTAATGAATTATTCATAGAAGATCGATCTATATATAATGACTATATTAAATGGATGCTTCGTATTCTTAAAAGTAATAAAATGTCTATAATTTCAAGAGTGCAATTCCAAGTTTATAGTATAGTAACTTTTGGAATTAATAAAATTAATTAATTGATTAAAAAGTTTAATTGATTATTAATTTTATTAGAGCTTGAAATTATGGGTCTATGAGTTCCCCGTCATCTGTGTAATATCTGAAGATGAGATGAATTTACGAGAATTTAAAATTATGGAATTCAAAATTTAATCACCCAAATAATAATGTGATTATTGAAATAAACAATTATGAGACACAAGATGTGGTAGGGTCACATAAGCCACACTCCAGTCACAAGGTGCAGGGGTGTGGCATAGGGAGGTGTCCCTATGGAAGTCAGTTACTTATTCTCCAAGTTATCCAGTTAATTTGTTAGATAAGTTATCTAATTTGAATCTAGGTAAGTTTAAAGTTTGACATTAAATGCATATTTAAAATTCGAGTCAAAATTAGATAGTAGTATAAAGGTTGGATAAGAGTAAGAAATTTATTCTAAATTTAAATGGAAAATTTATTTTGATTTCAAATGAGATTTAAAATTAAGATAAGCACCAATTTTCTCAGCTCTATATTTTATAAATAAAATTAGAATTCTGTCGGACAAAACTCTAATTATAATTGAAGAACACAATTTTACCTACCACTAGCTATAAATGTGTAGCATATTATTAATAGGCGTGTAACTTATTAGTGATGGATGTCAAGGTTCTTTAATTTCCAGTTCTGCTTTGTTCATGTGTAGATCTAAGTTGGAGAGAAATTATTTAAATGATCCTTCCCGTTAATTTTAGAATAGAGCTCACACTCTAGTCTTGCAGGTTTCAAAGAGTAGAAGAGAAAAATTCTGGTGTTCTAAGATTATTAGAGCGATGATTATTCGCAGTCAAATTATCAATATAATCTCTTCAACCGGATAATAAATAATTTGATTATTTATAAATTAATATAATCAATAGAGTGTGTTCCAAAACTTTCATAAAATTTTTGTGATACACTATCCATATCAATTCGCCTCTGCATATTATTTTATCTAAAAACGCTTTAGAAACCATTAATCATTTGGTTTCTGGCTCGATTTTATAAAGATGGTCTTCCATCCGACAACAAATTATGTGTCGGTTGTGATT